AAACCACTGTCTTTCAAAGGCATCATTGTAGTCAAAGAAGCTGTAATCTTCAAGGCCTCAGTTTGTTGTGTGCAAGAATCGATGCCTCTGTGACAGGTGTGACAGTAAATAAAATCAAGTTAAATTAAGCAGGCTTTACGTGTTCAAGCACTTTAGTGCATGCTTTGGCTAAACAGTTGTGACACACTGGCAAGTAGACTTTCTTGCCAAGTTCTTAGGAGTGTGCTGTGTTGCTGAATGAAGAATTGCATTTTCTGAGGCTGTGGACACAGAAGTTCTCTCTTTCGTTCACTCGCTGATAATGGTGGGCCTGGCAGCAAACTGAAGGAGAGATCCTGAAACCATTCCATGTAACATCTGTTTTATTGCCATCTCATCAATTTACAGCCAGCTGTATCAACTTACGTCCTTCCCTTACGTGCACAAGTGATTTTTAATACTGGGTTTGCTAACTACTGTATCTCTTACTGAATTAGCCAGAATGTTAAGCCTGTATGCACTGTTCTATTTTAATACTAATTTAACGCTGTTCAAGCATTTGTTAAATACTTGATTTTTAACTACTTCAGATATAGCTACTCAAATCTTACATAAGTATAGGAAACTGTTGTGCTCAATAAGGTAATTATTGAACAGCCATCAACTATTTAGTTTAATAGGGAAGATGATGATGTTTTTGTATTCTAATAATCCACTGTATCATTTGTGCACCATGTGGCTATTTGTGCTGATGCTGTTCCCCAGTGGTTCCTGTGACCACAGTACTGCTGGACTGCTGCCCTCAGCCCTCAGGCAAGTGGTATCTCCAGATGGCAGCAGCCATAGACTGCCTTGGGGAAGGCTGTTTAATCTCAGACACCTCAAAGCAGTGTATTCACTTCCTTTGAATTTACTTCTTGAGATCCCTCTGTGTTCCATCTTCTTGACTCTACTGTCTACTGGTTTTGTTTCTCCAGTGTCATCACCTCAGCTGCATCTTTTTCTTCCTCTTCTTCAGCTTCCTAAAGAAAAATCTTCTGAATAGCTTAAGTTACCAAGGTATCGTTCCCCATGATACAAACCAGCAGCCATTACTCTGCCCTAAACTGTAACTGTTCTATTAAGCGCAACAGATTGCCTGAAAGGTATCTCCAAGCATAAATGCCAAGCAAACAGGATACCTAAAGACACTTAGTGTATGTCACACTGCTTAATAAAACAGTGGTAATGTTCCACACAGTACTCCATCATTTAGGAAAAGTCCTAAAGATGTTTTAAAGTGACATTCTCCACAAGAACTCACATTGTTCAGTGCTGAAATTCAAGTTGTGAAATTCAAGTAATCTGCCATGATCCATGTACGTAGGAGGAGGAATTTACCCAAAATCATGCTGAAAAACTGAGTCAAAAAGAAACAGCAGTGGATCTCTGCAGAGCCTCCTCCTGACAGGGTATGGAACTAGGTACCGTAACTGTAGCACTTGCCTTATATTGTCAAATTTCATCTTCAGCTTTTCTGGACAGACCTATGCATCAGCAAAAGCTTGTGCCTTCTTGCCCAAGCCACTGACATGCTGAAAAGGAATTTGGAGCATTTATTTAAGATCCCTTTTCCATAAAACCTTGTCACAAAGTGACCTGTGCTCTTTCAGTGCCTCGCTACCTGCAAGAAAGCTCCACTGATACTCCAATACTATCCTAAAATGAAAGTCAGAGACTGAAATTGATTTTGAGATTTGATTTAGCATATCCACTGCTTTTCTTATCTGCAGATTCTCTAGATTTATACTCATTATGATACTACAAGTGTACAGGAACTGTCAGCTTGTGACCTGAAAGTCACAAATCAACTGCTAACCAGAGGCAGATGCCGTATTAGCAGTCTCCTAATCACTCCCTGCAGAGATAAACGTGCATTCTTTGCAAGCTTTGGGAGAAAGGAAGAGGCCAGTAAGAGTAGCACTGCGATATGAGTGCTACAGACCATTCAGCAAGGATCTTGAGCGTCAGGAGCATAGCAGATCCTGGACGTAGAATCTGTGATATAAACATAGTGAGAAAACTCTACGCGGGATCCCATGGAAAGCGTTTCTGAAAGGCAAAGACACTCAAGGAAGCCGGCAGGTCTTCAAGTGCAAGAACTGGTCAGGGCAGGAAAAGAAAGCGCCCTAAGCGAATGGTTCGGCACAACAAGATGGCAGCCCCCGTGGGAGGCGGGACGGAGCAACCGGAAGGTCTTCCGTCCTCGGCCGGAAGCGGTGGCGGGCTGTGGCGGCCATGGCTGACGAGGAGGAGGATGCGCCGGTGAGCGGCGGGGGTTGCGGGTTGTTTGCGTGGGGCGAGGGGCCACGCGTCTACCCGAAGGGCGGGAGGGGGCTCCCCGTCTAACGGCCTCCTTCCTCCGCTGTGCCCCTCCAGTTCGAGGAGGACTCCGAGGAAGCCGGCGGCGGACTGGACGGCGGGCAGGGCAAGAGGAAGAGGCTCTTTTCTAAAGAACGTGAGTCCGGGCGGGGGCTGCCGGGGCGGTGCGTTACCCGCCGTGCCAGCTGCCCCGGGGCCGGTAAAGCGTTCGGTGCGGGGCCGGACAGCACGCTGCTGTCTGACATCCCGTTCCGTGCGCGCTGCTGGGATTTTGTTGGCTTCTGCCTACGTGTTCCCTGCGCTCCTGCCTGCCGGGAGTGGGTACCGTCCTGCTGCGGTGGCTGGGCGGGAGCTCGGGATGGGAGCGTTGCTGATGTGCTGAGCAGACAGAGGCCTCACGCTGTGTATCTTCCTGCAGTAAGATGCATGATGTACGGATTCGGGGATGACCAGAACCCTTACACAGAATCTGTGGACATTCTTGAGGACCTGGTGATAGAATTTATCACAGAAATGGTAAGTCAGCCAGAGGTGGTGTACTGAAGGTGGCTCTGTTCAGCTTTGGAAAAGAAGACTGAGGGGATCTGATCAATGTCTATAAATATCTAAGGTGCGGGAGGAAAAGAGACAAGGTTGGACTCCTTTCAGAGGTGTGTGGCAATATGACAAAGGGAAATGGCCACAAACTGGAGTCTAGGAGCTTCTGCACAAATGTGCACAGTACTTCTTCACGGTGAGGGTGACGGAGCACTGGAACAGGCTGCCCACAGGGGTTGTGGAGTCTCCTTCTCAGGAGATGTTCAGGACCCACCCGGACTCCTACCTGTGCAACCTGATCTAGGGAGCCTGCTTTGGCTCCCTCTGCTTCAATGACAGCAATATTCCAGGCAAAAACTCAGTTCCAGCTAGGAAGAAATCTAAACTCAGATGTTGCTCTTTGAATATTAAGACAAAATTAATGCACTTTGTTGCACATGGATTTAGGGCAGAGTTTGGAGCCTTTAAGTAGCAGAGGAAAAAATCTACAGCTGACTTTGAGGCACCCTGTGGCATCACTATGTGTTCTGCTGACAAATGGCTCAGTTTTGAAAGGTTGTCCGCTGCGTGTGTTCTCTCAGTGCCTTTACACAGATGGGAATGCAATCCCATGCCATAAAATAAGTGCAGACGTCTGGGCCCTAAAGCTGATCCAGACACGTGGATACTACTTGAGCACTTGTGATAAACAAGAACAGAAAATAAGTGGTATTGTTTGTGGATCTCTTCTCATGAGAAGTTAGCCTTGCCTACCCTCAGCAGAACACCAGGCTTTCCTCTGATGCAGGTACTGCACACTGCATGCAGATTCTGTTTGATGCTGTTGTTTCCTCAAGCACTTTGCAGATCAGGTGTTCCCTCCCCGGTCTGGCTTCAGTTCCAAAGGCATTCCTGTAGAGTGGTACCCAACGTATATGAGGTACTGCACTTGTAAGTTCTTCTGGGACTTGGATGGCAATGCCCACATCCTGCACTTGCTGCTTCTAGACTGTTAAAAATGACAGGGAATACAGTGGGATTGAGATCAGAAAAAAACTAAAAGGGGTAGAGGAACACTGATTTTTCTCTCTTGCAGACACATAAGGCCATGTCAATTGGACGGCAGGGCCGTGTACAGGTTGAGGACATTGTCTTCCTAATCCGGAAGGATCCCCGGAAGTTTGCCAGAGTTAAAGACCTTCTGACTATGAATGAAGAACTGAAACGTGCCAGAAAGGCCTTTGATGAAGCAAATTATGGATCTTGATGCTGCGTACAGGCTTCACGAGGGCATGCTGTGGGCTCCTGTAAGAAGAAGAAATGTCATGTGTTGCTTTCAGGGGTTTATTTGAGGTAGAGATCATTGCTGCTGGGATATCTGCCCTGCCTCTCAACCTCTTGTGGTAGGCATTCAAAGCAGCCAGGTGTTACCTGATTGCACGTGTTATTCCTAACGTGTTTTTATACCATTCTGTGAATTTGAGAAATGAGCTCTAAGGATTCTTTAAAGGTGAGAAGTCTGTTTGCTGTGGGACTGTTGAATCTGGCATCTAGAAGGCCCGTGACAAGTTCTTCTTTACTTTGGTTATTGCTAGGTATTCTGTTGACAAGAAACCTGGAAAATAGATCTTGGTTAACTGGACGAATGAAGTTTTCAAGCCCAAACTATTCAAAATTCTGCTCTGTATATAATCCTTGAATAAAACAGCTCAAGTCTGTGCCCACTCTTAAGAGACTGAACTTATATTGACCAGTTAAGACAGGGCACATAAAAAAGTATGAGCTCTCTAGCATCTCATGGGCTCTGAAGTGCAGTTTCTGTCCTAGTAGACATAGCTCTGCTGTTCTCTACTGTATGTTTAGAGAACTGAAATTAACCTGTTCCAGATTTACTTGCTCTTAGACCCCTTCCTTACCCCTGTTGGGCAGATGCTCAGCTATAAAGCTGGTTTGACTTCATTCAGAGAAGTTTTTCAAATAAATAACCCCAAGATCAGGATCAGCAGGTAATTAAGAGCCTGATGGAAAGCACTAAGCATGTGAAATGGTGTTAGAGCAAGCAATAAATATGTGCTGGAATAGCTACACTTTGCTTTGCCAAGCAGGCAAAAATTGCATACTGAAAAGACTTCAGGACACTGGAGGACTTGTTCAAAGGTAGGTTTACTCTTGCAGGCTCTGGCTGTGCTTTGCCCTATTTCCAAAGCAGCAGGATTTGGTTAACTTCTTTTCACGACAAGGATAACAAGTATAGAACGGTGAAAACACTGCAAGTCAAGGCTCTTGTCTGTACAAACAGCAAGAGAGGAGTTATAACACTTTATGGAGAAGGGGCAGATCTTTAGGCCTGAGCAGCAGCAAGTGATCAGCTGCAGCTTTCTGCCTTGGGTGGTAATTAAGTGCTGTTCAATGCACAGCACGAATAACAGGTGGTCCCAGCAAAAGGGAAAAGGCACTGAGTAGGAAGTAACTCAAAGCTGCAGTCCCTGGACAAGGCTGGGTAAAAGGATAAAGATTGCTCATCTGTTTTGAACACTGTTCCATAAAAAAGGAAAAAAAAAAACTTAAAAAAAAATAAGATAGTTATTCCTTTGATAGCAGAACTTGGTGTATGAGGTACCAAGACACTTAGAGGCATTCCGAGTTCTACTTAGAAAAACGAGACATGTCTCTTCTTCCCAGTCCAGAATCAGACACCCATTACTGCAAAAATAGAATCAATATCCACATTCTCAGAATCTCTGTGCACAGACTTGGGGCTTTCTTTTAACAGCAGCTGTTTAGGAGTCCCTGCTGTACTTTGTTTCACAGAGGCTGTATGAATGATGGGACATCCTTTCCAACTTGAAGGCCTCACGATGGGTGAAACACTGCTCACATGGTCCCCAAAAAGCTCAGAAGGTTTTTGCTGAACAGTCTTCAGAATTCTCTTTGAGCACTTGGAGAATTTTGCCCTCCTTTGAAAGAACCATGCCCCACGGTACTGCCTTGGCCAGCGTGTGTTCTGTGAGCCATGCAGGAGGTATTTACAGAGCGTTGTTTTGACACAGCACAGTTTCTTCTGCAAGCTTAAGGGAAAGGCAGATGTACAAAAGAGAACTTTAACAGCTGTTACTGTTACTTCTGGTCTTTTCAGAGATATAGATATGGGCATTCTCTTACCATTTCATTTGTCATACCCAGGAAATGAAACAGTATCTTGTACAGTGGTAGCCATAGCATTCTCAAGAAATCTGATGCCCTTTACATCATCTAGCATCATTATACATGCACATAATCTAAGCTGCATTTTCATCCCCCCTCTTTATTACATATTCATGCACTTAGTAACTTTTTAAATCCTCTCACAAGTGAAGCTAAACAGAGTATTCATATCAGCAGTTCTAGTGACCTGAAGGTGTGATTGTGCTCAAGCTCAAAAAAATAGGTTAGACCACAGTATTTCTCTGCCTTGTAGCAAAACATGTGAAGTTAAACTATAGAAAGTCAGATCCAGAACCCCCAGACTCAGCATACCTGAGTATGTTATATACTCTGCATACCTGCATCCTTGCGCCTCCACGTGGTGCAGCCGATTGCTTTTCAACAACTTGCTGCGCAGAAAATAAGCTGCTGATTTGAGTTTATTGCCTTTGCACCACAGAATAGCTTTTCTGAGTGCCTCTGACAGCTCACCAAAAGATGCAGCTGTTTGAAACATCTGTACAAAAGGCCCAGCTTGCTGCAATTTTGCCACAGAAGAGGAAAGTGACACTGATGCTTCTTTAAAAGGTTTTGATGTCGTGCATCTACCCTGAAACAAAGAACAAAAATAGTTGGGTTTCTAAAAACATGAGGTGTCTGATCCTCTGCTGGAGTGGAGCAAAGCACTGTGTTTTGCATTTCTTAAGGAGAGACACACAATGAGCATTTCTATTCCTGTCTACTGACTTCCTCTCTGGTCACTTCATTTGACAAACCAACAAGTGCTTTCATAACAGAATGACCTGTTAGATGAGTAACATAAGGCAAGGAAAGGGGACATCTTCCATCATACAGGTATCAAGTGCTAGGCTCTTTAGAGCAAATTAAAAAAAAAAAAAAGCCAACAGAAAAGCAAACTCCTGTAAAATGGTGGCATACAAACCCTTTGTACTGGAGGTCTGGATGGTCTAAGCAAACTCTTCACATCAAACCACAGGTGGTTCCCTATAGAAAGAGAAGAGTTCCCATTAAGCAAAGAGTTTTAGGACCTTGCACAAAGAACCTTGCACAAAGACACTGTAATGCTTTGCCCTGCTGAGCTCTCAGCTCTCCACTGTGTCAGCAGCCTCATGCCTATACCCAGCACTTAGAAGCTTTTCATCATCCTGCATGGTAACTAGCAAGGGATGAAGAAGATGCAGATTTACAGATGGCTGTAAGGGTGAGCTTGCATGTATAAAAGCTTCATGCACATATCCAGATGCATGACTGTCACTGCCAACCATAGGCCTGACTGCAAGAGAAGACTGCTAGTTCTGGGCTATGTGCCCTCTGTATCATAATGTTACATACTCGTCTGGACTTTGCATCCCTTGCCATACTTGGGCCCCAATTACACAGAAGCAAGAAAATACAGGACCTGTACACAGCATTCATTGCCTGCTTCTCTCTTTGCTGTGTTGTTTAAAAACAATTCTCCTTCTTCCCCAGTACTGACATTATCTACAGCTTTATAAAATCAAGGGTGCATGCAGCATTCTCATCCTCTTCCAAGGACAAGAGAGGAGAGTTAGTACCAGAACCACACTGGGTAGTAAAAGTGCTTGGCTCTGTTAGACAAAGCTGTAGCCAGTCTCAGATCTCAGAAACCAGTAGCGCTGTGGCAAGACTTTACCTCTGCTGTCTCTGGTTGCCAGAACGGGTTCTCCAATGTCATCCGCAGGGATGCTGTGGTTTTTCACAGCACTTGCAGGGGTCACAAAACCTCTCTTTTTCCCAACCTTTGACACTGCTTCTGATGTGGTTGGGAAGAGCTTCTTCAGCCAGCTGGTAGGTCTTTTTGCTGTAAGCATTTTAGCTTTTTGTTTCTTCACCTCAGAAGAAAGGTTAACTCCAAGAAAGCTACTGATATCAGAAGGGAAGGTAAATCCCTTGATGTAAGGCATCTGCTGGGTCTCAGACACCAGATGAAGTGATGTTGATACCACGCCATACAGGGAGATAAGGCTCTGCAGTACACACCTGTATTGAATCCTGAAGGGAGAAGACAAAGGTGTAGATTCTCCCCTAGCAAGAACTTGTGCTTATATTCACTGAACAATTGCCTTGAACTCAAGGGGAAGAGTTGACTATAAAAAAAATCACATTTCAAACTGCCCTTTCCCTTTGTTCTCCATTCAGTAGAGGCCCTTCTCTTTACATTCCATCACATTTTCCTTTAATACCAGCCTGAGCCTCTCCTGCCAAAACACCTTCTATCTTTCAAGCACATTCATGACCACAGCACAGGACTGATGTGACTGGTCCTACAGCTTTGCAGAGTGCAGGCTCTCACATCATGCACAAATCATTTCACAAGAGGTCTTTCTAATGAGCAGTGCACGTGGACTCAGGACACTTGTGCTTGCACTGATGCTCTGTGTTTGCTGGGGAAAAAGAGATTTCTTATGTGAAAAACAATTTTAGCAAGTTCTTGTGCATAGTCCTGTTACTTCCTCAGTTACAGGCAGTAGTTATTTCTTAGTGCTGCTCTGACCAGAACAATGATTTTCCAGGAAAATTATTAGTGAGCAACTTTATCACAGCCTTTCCATGTCAGCATGAGGCAGATGTACTGCTTGCTGCAGAGTGCCAGATGTCAGTGTCTGGCAGGCTAGCAGTAATGCTGTGTTTTTATTAGCACCCCAAAAAGCTTATGATGAACAAAGAACAAAGCCTTCCAAAACAGCACTCTCCACTCACACAACTCTTCAGGTGCTAGAATCGAGTCCAAAAGGATGGAGGGATCTCTGATTTATAAGATCTTTTTCCTCTCTCCTCCTAGCTGAATAAAGCTCACTCAGCAGCAATGCTCTAATCACAAGCTTTCTCCCTGACAGGCATGTCAAAAAGACAGCAAACTCAAATACACAAACCATAGCCTGCTCAACAAGCCTGAAGCCACGGTGTTCAAAAGTATGAATTCTTCTGAACAGAGATGTTTAACAGACAAGCTGAAGATTACACCAGTTAAGGTTAAAGAATAAACAGTATGTAATGAAACTTGCTGAACACACCAACTACAGGCAATTCACAAGGCAATATCCTGAATAATTTGGGAGATATGTATCCAAACTTTGGGTTTCTCAAGGCTGGAACAGCAGCCAGCCAACAGCCTGAGGTTCCTACCTAATAACTTGAAAATAAGATGTCTGGCTATCAAAGAATCTTCAACATGCACAAATGAATTGCACAGTGGAGTCCACCAGCGACACAGAGCCTACAGCAGACCTTACTTTGGCCTCGTGAAGTGCTGCCGGTGAGCTGTAAGAATGTTTACATAGTGAAAAAAGGATACAGAAATGCTTTACAGCAACAGTCTAGCAGACGCAGTATGAGCTTACAGCCTCCCAGCACCTTCACGGCCACCGTTTCCAGCATAGGCTGGCTGGGAACTAAGCACTCCGCTTGGGCCTCGGCTTTATTTTTCCTGTGACAAGACAAGGGCAAGGAGACATCTGCCATCTAGCATCTGCAACTGAATCTAGCATAGAAACTGAAGGAGGCCTTCAGTTCTGTAGGCTGATCAATGGGTAGTATTGCATACAGGGTCACGTATGCAATACCTACCTGGGAATCAGTTCTGCCAGGGTTTCAATGCAGCCCACCAAGTTCATTTTCCACAGGCGCTTCAAGCATTGTTCTACCTAGGAAAAAAAAAGGGAAAAAAAAAGAAGAAAAAAAAAGGAAAGTCCTTCAGCTGGTGTTCTGAGAGACACAAATGCCCTTGTCTAAGAGCAGTCAGTATTTTAAGTGACACCTTCCCCTCATCAGTTTAATAGCAAATTGCAGGTTTGTGTGATGCAGTCATGTTCCCATATCTGCACTGTGCAGAAGAGACCCCTTTATCACCTTACTGTGAACAGGAAATTAAAAGCAGGAGCAGGTCACTGTTCATTGGCACTGCATGGTTTCTCCTGCAGCATATAAATGGAGTTCAAGAAGCATTTAGACAATGCTCTGAGGCAGACGGTCTGATTTTTGGGTGGTCTTGCATGGAGCCAGGAGTTGCACTCAATGATCCTTATGGGTCCCTTACAACCCATGATATTCTGTGTCTCTGTGATAATGCAGCATGATGGGGATAAAGTACAGAGGTTTCTGAAATATTAACAACGGAATGTGTTTGGGATGTAACCAGTCTTTCAAAAACAATAAAGAACAAATGAATCAAGAAGGTAAGAATGACTGCTGTTTTATTTCAGCACAGTTATTTGAAGACTATGGCAATCCCTTTACTACAGAACTGCTGAAGAGTTAAGCTTCTGCCTTAGGAGAGGCAGTGCCCGACAGAACAGCCTGCAGTTGTTCTTCCACACACAAACCTCCCCCCTCCCAACTGAATCAAATAGCATGAGGCTCCAAGACACACCAGCTGAAATAGAGCTCTGCTTTGCACGATGTCCCAGGCCCATTCCGGGACCAGTGCATGGTGTGCACAAACCATCTGTGGTTTTGCACTTGGGCCAAACGAATCCTAGGTATCAATGAGCAGACCTTGAGAGCAGCCCTGCAGAGAAGGACCTGGGGGTTCTGATGGATAAAAAGCTTAACATGAGCCAGCATTATGCTCTTGCAGCTCGGAAAGCAAATGATATCCTGGGCTCCATCAGAAGAGGGGTGGTCAGCAGGAACAGGGAGGTGATTGTGCCTCTCTACTCTGCTCTTGTGAGGCCCCATCTGGAGTACTGTGTCCAGGTCTGGAGCTCCCAGTACAAGAAAAGTACTAGAGAGCTGTTGGAAAGGTCCAGAGGAGAGCCACAAAGATGATCCAAAGATGGAGCACCTCCCCTGTGAGGACAGGCTGAGGGAGCAGGACCTGGACAAAAGAAGGCTGTGGGATGACCTCATTGCAGCCTTTCAGTACCTAAAGGGAGCCTACAAACAGGAGGGGAATCAACTCTTTGAAAGGGTAGGTAACTGCGGGATGAGGGGAAATGGTTTTCAGGTGAGGGAGGGAAGATTCAGGTTGGATGTCAGGGGGAAGTTCTTTACTGTGAGAGTGGTGAGGTGCTGGAACAGGCTGCCCAGAGAGGTTGTGGATGCCCCGTCCCTGGAGGTGTTCAAGGCAGGTTGCCCGCCGCTCACCTGCTGCATAGCCAGGTAAGGCCGGTGCCGCAGCAGCCTGCTGTGGAAGACGTAGAGCAGGGCCCGCAAGACGCGTCCCTCGGCGGCCAGGCCCGGCCCGGACAGCCGCTTCAGGGCGCCAACGCAGCGCCGCCGCAGGGCCGGCAGGCAGCTCACTGCGAACGGGAGGCACTCAGCAACGGCCGCGCGCACCGCCGTTCCCCACGCGCGCTCCCCGCCCCAGACTCCGCACGCCCAGGGTCGCCTTCCCCCTCCCGGCCCTCCCCGCGGCCTCTCCGGCTCCGGTGCTCCGCCCCTCCCCACTCTATCCCGGCCGCGCGGTCCGGCAACCGAGCCGGGGACCTGCGGGGTGCTGGGCGGTCACGGCCACCGCGCTGCTGCTAGCGGGCCACGGCACGTCCACGCGGTTCCACGCCGCCTCGGGCGCCGCCATCTTTCCCTGTGCGGGGCGGCGCTGCGCGGGGCGGGACATGCGGGCGGGGGTGCGGTCTGCACTCAGTCATCCCCGGCGTTCCCAGCGCGCATGGAGCGTTACCGTTTGGGCTGCTCGGAAGGGAGGGTGCGGCAGCTGACGGCCCTTGCGATGCGCTGCGGCGGCAGCCCGTCGGGCGGTGACACAAGTCCTGTTGGCTGTCCTCTGCCATCACGCAATGCCCAGATCCCACAACACAAAACACGGCGATGTGCTTCACGTGAGCAGCAGTCGGCATTTGGGGCGGGGAAGAGGGACTGAGTGTGCGCTCGGGTGCCTGATCCCAGCCCAAGGCCATGGTCCCCTTCGCAGTGCCAAGCTAAAGGCTGAAGGCTTGGGGCAGAGCGGTTGGAACGCTGTGCTGCAGAAAAGGATTTGGAGGTGTTAGCTGACAGCCAGCTGGACGTCAGCCAGCAGTGTGCCCAGATGGCCAAGGCCATCTGCACTCTTGGCTGGTATCAAGAGATGTGCAGCCAGCAGCAGCAGGGAGGTGATGGCCTTTCTGTATGCAACACCGATGAGGCTGCACTTCAAGACATCTCATAGCACCATAGAATGTCCTGGGTTGAAAAGGACCACAATGATCATCTGGTTTCAACCCCCTTCTATGTGCAGGGTGGCCAACCAGCAGCCCAAGCTGCCCAGAGCCACATCCAGCCTGGCCTTGAATGCCTCCAGGGATGGGGCATCCACAGCCTCCCTGGGCAACCTGTTCAGTGCATCACCACCTCTGTGTGAAAAACTTCCTCCTAATCTCTAACCTAAACCTTCCCTGTCTCAGTTTAAAACCATTCCCCCTTGTCCTATCGCTATTTCCTCACGCTTGAGTCAAAGATAAATGTTCACTCACCTACTAGCATTGCCATTAATATATTTTCTGTAGACAACTACATTAAACTGAGTACAAATTTTGACCCATCTCATTATTTTAGAATCCAATTTGTTAAATGCTTCCTGTTTTTTCCTTCAAAGAGGTTTGTGCAAATGCAGATTTAAGTGGTGTCCCTTTAAAAAGCTAGAGTAAAATTGGCATTAGTGTTCACACCTGTGTGTGGCAGAGTGTGTGAGGGAACAAACCTTGAGTCAGAACTGATAAAAGGCTGCTGCCTGAGCATTCTCTTGTCCTGGGAACAAGGCTGTTAAGCTTCCTAGTCTAGTAAAGAGTTGTAAAAATAAACATGGAGTCTCCGTGCTGTGAGCAGAGGGCTGCAAAGGTCTCTCTAGCTGAGATTTTGAGGTGCTTTGAGCACCCTATAAGCGAAGAGCAAGCCTGGGCTATTTGCTTTCAGTGCTGCTGCAGAATGAAAGAATTAGCCCAAGGGCTGTACCCATCACTCCATTCTGTATTCATAAAAGGTCCTGGGAGCATCTTTATTCATGCTGATGGCACTGTTTCCTTCCGGGTGTATCATAAGTCTGGTAAGAGCATAAGTAGCTGTGGATGCCAGGGGTTGTTTCTGTAATTGGTTGAAATTTAGGGACAAAGCGGATGAAAACTTTTTATTTTTCCCTTTCTCTGTATGCTCAGGTTGTTCTCACTATATAGGCTGCTCTTCTGTCTGTACTTTATTCTAAAAGTTTATATATAAGATGTAATGCAGATATGCCTGCTAATTTTTCTGATAAAATTTTTCTGACTGTGGAGTTCATTGCTAGACTCTGCAGGGACAAGAGCGAGTAGTAAAGAATGAAGACAAACATCCATTGCCTTCCTTGTGATTAGATATGTACTAACAAAGGAAAGAAACTAACCAGTGGTACTTAAATTGGGGCTAATGGTCACAGTAAATAAAGGGTATCTTGCACTGCTTGGCAGGGTTCTTGAAAAATAAGCCTGTTTATCTAAAAACTGTTGATCAATGCCTGTGCAGTGATCATCCTGCCCTACCTCCTCTTGTCTCCTTTTCAGATGCTGGCAGCATTCAGCAGTCAGAGGACAAGGTAAGCCTGTGTCTTTGCTTTTGTATACGTGCAGATATAATCCTGCCATGTAGAAAGCCAGCATGGGAGATGCAGGCATCTAGCTGCCTAAAACTGTAAAGGTATTTTCGTTTACTGGGTACTGTGGGTGTGACTGTCCCTGTCATCTGAAAAATGAAATAAAATGTTAGGAGTGAGCTCCAGTAAGACTTTGGGACTGGGAAACAAACAGCGTGCACTAGTGCTGCTACTGTGGAATAGCGTATAGGCTTTTTGTCCTGGTGTCATCATTTAGAGGTTCTAGATAAGGCCTTTTAAAAGTTTAACATAGCTCACTGGGGAGTGTCCCAGGCTACTGGAAGAGCAGTCAGTTGCTTGTTGAGCTCTTCTCACCCTGAGAGATGTACTCAGCCCCGTGGGGCAGCAGCAATAGGGAAGTGAAGGCTGTGGAGTTGTACTGCTTCCTTGGCTTCTGTCTGCAGCTGCTGGAGTACCTGGGAGTGGTGATCTATGAAGCTCTGGACTGGGGAATTGACAGCCAAGTTGAGCGAGAACTGAGTGATCCGCTGGATAAACTGCTGTGCCTCATGTTGAAACTGGATGATGAGGGAATGAAGCCAATAGTCACCCTGCAGGATGTTATCAAGGTTTTATTCTTCTTGCTCAGTAAACACAGCTGCTTTAGAGGAGCTGATGGCTAATCATGCTGACAGGCTGTTTCTGGGGAGTAGCTGGGCAGTTTGTTGGATGGGGGGAAGGTGTAGCTTTTCTGTCAGACCTGGAAGGTTTAAAACCTTTAAGGTGCACTCAAATGTCTATGGAAAAGAAACTAAGGAGGAAGTCTGAACATGGCTCTCACAGCTCTGTCTACAAGGTTCTTCAATATGTAGTCTCCAACAGTAGTGTTCAGTACCTGGAAGACTACAGATCTTGAAACAAGTCACTTGTCCATAATTGGTTGCTGCAAGAGGATTTGAATGCCACAGCTCAAACTAATAGCCCCTCTCAGCCGTAATTTAAGAAAACAAGAAATCGTCGGAGCCCTGGTGTAAGCAGGGTAGGGTGCCAAGGGGGAAAATGAGATGACAAGTGACTCCACCTGCTGTGTTTTGTTGTGGTTTGGAAGCTTTCCCTTCCAGGTACTTATTTCAAAGCACAGCTTGTGGAGATCAGGATATATAAATCACACAAGTACTGAAGTTATTGTAAATATAAGATTTGGCATTTTACTTCTTTGCTCCTCTGCATCTACAGTAAAATAAACAAAAAGATACAAAGGAACAATGAGGAAAATGATTTTTAACCACTGATTGAGGAAAAAAAGGATTTTGCTTTCTTCAACCTGCATGTGTTTTTATTTCAAGATTTCTTTTAAACAGTTCCACTTCTTTCAGGCCTGTGAGCATCACCTGTCCATGCCTTCTGAGGCTACCAGTCATTACAAAATGACCTGTAAGAGTCTTTTTACTGAATTTATTGAACTTCAGAAGCTTGTGTCCATCATCCAGACCTCCAAAGAGGTATATTTGGCATCACCCCTTATCTACTATGCCTTCTACCTCCATAAATTGATCTAGTTATAATTTTTCCATTGCACTAGGAATGGAGTACCTAGCTGATAGTCTGTTTTCATGATATGGAACATTTCTCTTCACCACACTATTTATTGTAACTTGTGAATGTTTGGGTGTTGGGGCCTCTAAGCTTTTCAAGTCACCATTAATAATTTATACTGGATAAACGGGAAAGCACTGGGCAGCTCGATGTGACGACCTCTTCTGCTCACTTCTTAGAGTCTAAAAAAAATGGATGAGGAAGATTTGCTGGAAACCCACGTGCAGAAGAAGGAAAAACAGTGGGTAAGGGATTTCATTCCTTCATTAGAGGAGGTTGGGCTTGTTTGTCTACCCTTGCTCTCTGAGGCTTCCTAGTGACTCCTTTGTTTAAACAAACAAACAAAAATAGAGCTTGAACATCAATTACACTTGTTACATTGTTCAAGAACTTAAGTAGTTAAAGACTTGTCTGCAAAACAAGCTGGGATGTGAACTTGAACTTAAGCTATTTCATGTGTTTACCTCATGTGGATGCTTTTTCTGCACAAAGAGCCTCTTTGTGGTTCAACTTAAACCACTTCTAGAAGTGAAATTGGAGGCACTCTTTGGAATAAGTGTCCACAAGTAGTTACTCATGCTGTTTCTTACTGAAATGAGTCCCACACTCCATCTCCTGGCAGGATTTGATACCTGTCAAAAGGAATCTGTTTCTTTCTGTAGTTGGATTAACAACTCCCAGAAGACTTCCTGTTGGTGGTCAGAGTAAGATGGACTGCATCACTTTAATCACGTGGAGTCTGCTGTTAGTTCAGGGCTGGAGGGGAGGAAAGTAACTCCATCCCTCCTTATGGTTGTGAGCTCCAGCAGCTCGACAAAGGCATGAAGTAGGGTGAGGCTGGAGATGTAGCTCCTACCTTCTGTTTTCTGTGTTACTTGTCCTTCCGTTCTGTCCTTCTCTAAGTCTTGGAATGTGTTTGGGGCAGAGATAGCAACTTATTCTACTCTTTTCCAAGGCCCTACACAGTCAGGGCTCAGTCAGAAACAAATAGCTCTTCTGGCTGGAGCTCTGCCCAGCATAAACAAATGCTCTGTAGTCTGGAGTCTGTGGAGACAAATGGCAAGCCCCGAGAGACTTGTGGACTTGCTCTTTTTGTCTAAATAGCACTTGCTTTGAAGCGTGCTCAAACTATTCGTATGAAAATGTTTGTGAAATGTGTGTTTGGGCATATTCTCAAATTTGTGATCTATTAAAATAAGCTGGCAAGCTATCTTAAACCACAAACTCATCAACTGCTCTAGCACTTTTCTGCAGGGAATACATGAATAAATACATGGGCTTTGACGTGTGGCCTGGAGGCCAGTGTTTTTGGCCTCTGCTCCTTCAGGAGACATGGATTCCAAAAGCAGGATGTCTGTTGCAAATCCTTTGCCTCTAGTTTCCAAGTCCCTCAGCACCAGTTCACTGCATCACTCTGACAAACTCTTGAGTTTAAAATAACCAGGGTGCCGAC